AGGTCCGGGTTGGCATTTCTGACCCGTTTACATAACCGGGTCGGGTTAGGGTCGACTCGTTTGAACCCGAGTCAGTTCCGGGTTCGACCCGAACCCGACTTGTGACCCGAAATTGACACCCCTACTCTGTGTATCGTTATCATGTACCGCTATGTATCAGATGACATGGAGCGTCTTGCTTAGCATCCGGACAATTCCGTGACCGCACGTAATAATCTCTCCAAACACTGGACACTACATATTAAGGTTATGACTGGCATGAACAAGTCTCAAGAACAAGCAGAATTAATTCAATTAGTTTCAGAGATCGATCCAATTTATTTAAATTCTGTCAACACTCACTAATTTATTTTCATACACATTTTTCAAATTAAATAATTTTTTTTTAATTTAGATCAATTAAGATAAATACATAAATATTATATATATATAAGATTATAATTCAAATTTTCTTAGTTAAAATTTTCAATCAATACATCAAAATAAACTGCGTAATTCTCAACATTCAATCATAATTTATTAATTTCATCGTAACACACAGGAAATATAAAAAATAAAATGAATCTTTTTAAATATATTTATATTTATAATTACCAAAAATGCCCTGGCCACCTGCAAGTAAATACAAACACAAAACTCCAAGTTCTAAGGCCTTACAGCTGTCCGCTAAAATAAAAATATAGAAAATATTTAAGAGCCTCATTAGAGTCTACAGCAGTATCGCGTGAGCCGATTCGGCCGGACCCCGGTCTATCCGGTGTCGAATCCGGCTCTGTCCCTTCTACCCCCGACATTCATATGATTCCAGATCACCCACTTTGGACCGTTCGATCTCAACGTCGGTGATCTCCCGCCACACGTGTGCTTCCTCTCTCTCATTCTTCGTCGAGTCCATCGCCTCCGCCCCGATACAAATCAACCGATAGCAGGTCGGACCCACCCACCGACGGTCCTTTTTCCCTCCTCGGATCTCCTTCCCATCCTCACCGTTCATTTCCCATCAACGTCTAACACTATTCTCAACAAGTTATAAACACGAGCAGCAACTAATATGCGCACTGGGTTTTTGCTATCCTACGCAGGCCGTCCCGCCTCCCTTTATAACGGCCCTCCTAGCACTTTTACTCCTCCCGTCTTACAAACCAAAATCGTACTATCCCTCACTCTTTACTCTGATCATTATCGCCGGTTATAATGGCAGGTTCGCCGTCGCTAATGGAACCCAGCAGCGACACCGACAAGCTCAGCTACGAGATCTTCACTATCCTGGAGTCCAAGTTCCTTTTCGGCTACGACGACTCCAAGATTTTTCTCCCTGCATCAGCACCGGAGACGCCGGCGAAGACCCCTTCCAGCCTGGAGTCCTCACCCGGAAAGATCCGCATCCTATCCATAGACGCCTCTACCGACAGTCTCCTAGCCGCCGCATCCCTCGTCCGTCTCGAATCCTCTCTCCGCCGACTATCCGGCAATCCCGCCGCTCGAATTGCTGATTTCTTCGACATCGCTGCAGGATCCGGCACTGGCGGTGTTCTTGCCGCCTTGCTCTTTACCCGGGGTCCTGATGGCCGACCGCTCTTCTCCGCTGACGATGCTCTCTGCTTTCTATTAAAAACCGGCGCCGTGTGCGATTCGACCGGCGAGCGGAAGGGGCTTTTCCGCCGGATCTTCCGGCGATCCGTTGGCATGACTTTCCGAAAGGTGTTTGGGAACGCGACGCTGAGAGATACATTGAAGCCTTTGCTGATCCCCTGCTACGATCTAACCAGCGGCGCGCCGTTCCTCTTTTCGAGAGCGGACGCCGTGGAGGCTGATACTTATGATTTCCTGATCAGGGAGGTATGCACGGCCACCTGCGCAGGAAGGGTGGCGTCGGAGATGAGGTCGGTGGACGGCCGTGCTTGTATTGCTGCGGTCGGCGGTGGGGTAGCAATGCCGAACCCTGCGGCGGCCGCCATCACGCATGTGCTTCACAATAAGCAGGAGTTCCCTTTTGCTGCTGGCGTTGATGACCTCATCGTCGTTTCGCTTGGCAGTGGAGAACAAGATATCGCCGGCGGCTGCGCTACGCCGTCCACGGCTGAAGTCGTGCGGATCGCCGGGAATGGAATGGCCGACATGGTAAGAACTGGCGCCTCGTTCTCCCGCTAATCGTTTTGATTGACCGAATTACCCTCGCTTCGCATGTCCTTTTTATCTTATCTCTCCGTTAGTGGACAGTGGACACCTTTTTTAACGAGTATTTTAAAGAGAACTCATTTATTTTACCATATAATATTTGTTAGCTATGTAGTTTTAATACAACTGTACTTTTTTTAAAACAAAAGGCCTCTTAATTCATAATGTCGCACCTAACTAAAAGCTAATAGCGTCAAATTCGAAGTTTCATGGGTAGATAAAATTCTTGATCTTCTTTCATAAGGATAAGTGTAGCTGTGTAGATAAAATTTAATAATCTCACGTTGTATTATGCTGCGTGTTGCATAATTTTAATTCTTACATTCGAGCAATTTTATTTGAGATCTACAGGATTTGATGAACAACTTCTAAGATCATATCAATTAACTAAACACCCATTTTAAGTGTAATTTTTAGCTTCGACAAATATCAAACTCGATATTTTAAAATATCTGTCGAGATCTTATTTATTAGATCATTATTTCATTATATACAGTGAATAAGACAAATTAGTCATTACAATTATTTCTGTCACATAGCTTAAAAAAGAAGATAATGTGATTGATCCCATTGCAAATTAAAATTTATCTTTAATAGTTTAAGCAAAGTGGCCTTTTTTATGCTTATCTATAAATAAATATGTCCGCTAAATTATTGCTTGGTTCTTGTCTCAGGTTGATCAAGCCATAGCTTTGGCCTTTAGGCACCACAGGATAAACAATTATGTTCGCATTCAGGTAATTTTCGAAATAATCTTTTACATCAATTACATTTCCATATTATCTAATTGCACTGGAAAAGTATTTATTTACAGTCCTTGTAAAAAAAAAAGCAGGCAAATGGGGTTGGACTCAGAAGTCCAAAATGCTCAAAGGCTGCAAGCCGTGAAGCAAAGATGATGAGGATAGAAGAGATGCTAAGTCAAAGAAACGGTGAAACTGTGCTTTTCCAGGGGAGGAAAGTATCGAAAGAGACCAATGCCGAGAAGCTGGAAAGATTGGCCGGAGAACTCATCAAAGAGCAGGACAAGAGAAGCAGATCTTCCATCCCCACCGTTTTTATTAAGCAGGCATTGACTCCGAGGACTTCGTCGGCCACCACCGCCACAACCACCACCACCTCAACCAGAAGGTCGTTGGGCTCTCCTTGATTTTCTTCAGAAAATTGAAGAAGATGGTCACTTTGCAAAGAGCCGTTATATTTATCAATAATGAAAGTCTGCATAAGTTTCTCACGGGTTCTGTAACGGCAGCCATAAATTATAGTTGGTGATGCAAAAAAACAAGCTCGGCTTCGCTTTTTGAGGCGCCATTGGAGCAGCAGCACTAGAAATACTACTACTTCTGTGTACATTGTAATTGACAAGAATCGATTTAGATTCTTAGTAAGATTTTTCTTTCTTGGGGTGTTGGTTTCCGGGTAAAGTGAGTTCCGGAGTGGAATGCTTGTTGAGGTGATTATTTATCTCCTAATAATAAGTCCTTGTACTGTAATTCCGAAGCTATTAATAAATGATTGAGAGTAAAGATTCCTTCTTGACAAGTTGCTCGTCTAAACTCTTAAGAGACTTTGGCTTTATTTGGGATGACTTTCTAACATCTTAGATATTTCTCATGGAGTTCAGAGCAGATCTTTGGCCAATAAATGAGGTAGCACTAAATGGTTAGGATTAGGATGGTCACTAAGATTTTATTTGGGATGACTTTCTTGCTGCTTCTTAAAGCAGCTTTACAGTATAAAATTTTAATTTTTTGTAACTGTAAAGCTACTTTAAGAAGCATAAAAAAAGCCGTCCCAAACGAAGTCTAAGAATGGCTAAAACAATCATTCTCTTGAAGGTTAAAAGAGGTTATAATGATATCTACGATGCAAGGTTGTAGTGCAAGTTTATTTAGGAGAAATTATGAGATTAGGGCTGCAAACGAACCAAGCCGAGCTGAGTATGTGAGTGTTCATGTTTGAGTTCGTTTATCATTAGCTTGTTCAAGTTTGGTTCGTGTTTGATTCTAGCTTTATTGTTTGTGTTCATGTTTGGTTCGTTTAATTTAAACGTGTTCATGTTTGGTTCATATTCAGTTCATTTAATGCTTGTTCAAGTTTGGTTCGTGCTTGATAAAGGAGATTGCAGTGTAGGGCAAGATGAATCCATGATTTCAACACAAGTGGAGTTATGGTGCTTCTCTTTGGATAAATAATTGTAGTTCTAGTGAGGTTGTGACATAGGTCTATAAGTAACAAAGGCTACCATGTGAGCCATGTTGTAATGTAGGTTTAAATAAAGTCTAACTATGTTGTAAATATATTAATAAATGTTTGGATGCAATGTTGACAAAGTGTTACAACCCGAGAAGGTCACAATGATAAACAAGTAATTCAAAATCTCTGGCAACATTGAAAACGGGGAAAGAAACTAAGGAGAGGAGATATAAGAAGATGATTATTTTTCATTTATTACATGTTAACAAAGGATGGCTATATATAGAAATGCAACACTAGGAAAGACTCCATAACGATCTATTAACTCCAAATACACATTAATCGCCTATAAACCATAATGACTTGGAAAGATCTACTAGTCTAACATCTAATCTACCTATTTTTTTACTCATAATATTACTTACTCAACTTAATCATCTAATATAATTTATTTTTCTCCATGGCCTTATCACAAAGCCATGAATATGATTGCAATAGAGGTTCAGACTTGAAAAATCTCGCATCCTGATGATTATCTTTTGTAGGAGTTTTCAAAGATATAGGTTCTTCTTAGCTTAGAAAGTTGAAATAATAAGTTCTTGTGTTATATATATATATATATATATATATATATAAACAAGAAAATTTATTCCATAAAAAAGAAGATACAACCATTCAACGAAATAGGAGCAAACAACAGCTAAAGAAAAAATACACAATGGAGCAACCAACCAGAAAAGGGGAATCACCGAAGCGGGATCAGGTAGTGGCAAAACACTACAACCACTTAAACAATAAACAAGGGCCCTCCAAAGGGCAAGCAACATGCCAGCAAAACCAAATCCTGCACGAAGACTAGCAAGAAGCCGCTAGAATGGATGCCAACAAGTCATACGAACAGATAGCATGGCCTCATCATTGCCCATATTAAAAATCTCGTCCACACCAAACAATCTAACGAAAAACAGGAGCAAATCCAAATCCAAATAGCGAGACAACCAATTAACCACAACATCAAAATCAAGGAAACTCCAAAAAGCTTATTTTGGTCTCCTACGCCGATGATTTAACCCAACTAAGGTAAAATTATTTTCCACGAGAGGATCCACTTGCACCTTATACGATTCTTGAACACCCCTAGAAGAGTCAGCAAAAACCGCCCTATTCCCATCCAGACTAACAGGGGAAACATTTAACCAATCCGAGTGGTCCACATAGCAATCTCTAGACTTGCCTAAATGAACTTGTAAAGCAACATTGTAAATTAGAGACACTGACACATCAATACATCGAGCAGACGTAAAAACCCCAACACGTGTAACTGACTCAGTAATAGGAGAAATAGTTGTTGACCCACCCAAATCAGTGGAGCCATCATCCACGACCAGATTAATACCACATTGGCCTTCAACAGTATCTACCAAAATTTCACAAGAACCACATCCACTAGGAGACTTCTCAACAGCAAAAGGGGAAAGAGCACCATCAAGCGCACTAACACCCTCCATCACACAAAGCATTAGTATTAATTTGGGAGCAAACCGCAGTCAGGGGAATCTCCTCTGAAACCTCCAGAGGAGGAACCAAAACGACCACAGCTGCTGGAGCGTCCGTCACAATCTCAGGCTCTACGACACGAGCCACATGGTTAAGGCCATCAACAAGTTCAACTGAAGTATTAACATTATCCAAAACAGAATCAATAGCCTTAGTCAACGCAATATGAGTTAAAGCTAACTAGGGATGAAGAATTTTACATTCAGATTTGGAATGCCCCAAAGACTTGCAGTGGGAGCAATAACATGGGAAATCCTCCATAACTATCGGTTGTATATACCCTAAAGTTTCCGAACCTACCCACACCTAATCAGGATAGGATTTAGTAACATCCAGCTCAACCAGGACACGAGTTACCGAAGGCCTAGAGCCAACTGACGTAGCATGATCAATCTTAAGAGGCCGACCAAACATAGATCCTAAACCATGCAAAATCCTCGGGGAAAAGAGATTGGGACGCAGGTTTGAAAAAGAAATCTAAATGGAAATAATGCATGATTCGATATCCGCGCATAGCTAAGACAAAAAATTTGCTCACTCTACCGCCAGCTCGCAACAATAAGAATGCTCCAATGGAGCTAAATTGACAACTATTTGTAAAGTCTAGAAGGGTATTCTATTCCTTCTAAGAAATAATATGAAATATTGATAATAGTTATAAGAAACGAATAATGTATATTGTTTTCTTTTATGATCAAAATATGATTGGATGACACTATTTTTCGGTTGACCTAACTAGTCCGTTGAAATTGGACCAAAGTTGGGTAGACGGGCAGCAAATTAATGGTCTTAAATTAACAAATTGAATATACCATTAAATAAAAAGCTCTTTGTTTGGTAAAATTAAAATTAAATAAAAAAAAAGCGCTATAGATGAAGCCAAAATAGAGTAACCATAAAAATTAATAACGGTGGTCGTTACTCGTAACGACAATGAGGTGAAATCACAAATCTGGCCCGGTTCATTCCTTACCTTGCTTGGTCGGTTCATGGGGACCGCTCTCGTCCGGTCCAAGCTCGTCTCAATCAATGCGCTCGTGTGGTCGAGCTCGTGAATAATTGTTATCAGCACATGACGTATCATTCTAATTTTCATTTTTCAGCGCCTAAGCACTCGTAAATTGCCATTATTTTCTCAATTTTATACGTCATTTTGGATGCTTAAACTTAGTTGGCCATTTGACCGATTTTTTATTAGGTCCGGACACCTGACGTAACTCTACATCCGGACGTCAATAAAATGTCGCAACATGCTCTTATTCTTTATCGTGCGGCCCGATGACCCGACCCGGAACGGAAACCCGATATTGCTATGTTCGTGTATTTCTAGGTATTGCTCGGTATTGCTAGGTATTGCTCGGTATTGCTTGGCAATAACGAGAAATATCGCTATGACAAGACCAATACTGAGCAATACCGAGCAAAACCGGGGTATTGCTAGGTATTGCTCAGTATTGCTAGGTATTGGTCTTGACATAATGGTATTTATCGTTATCGAGCAATACCGAGCAAAACCTAGCAATATCCTGATATGTACAAATCAGCTAATACATAGCAATTTTGGGTTCCGGTCCGGGTCGGGTCGTCGGGCCGTGCGGTAAAGAGTAAGAGCATGTGGCGATATTTTATTGACGTCTGGATATAGAGCTACGTCATGTGTCCGTACCTAATAAAAATTCCCATTTGACCATTCGGCCCAAAAAATGGACGCTTCATGCCTTCATATGAATAAGGCTTCATTTGGAGTAATTTTTTGTCATTATTTTTTATTTTTATTTTTTAAAAAAATTGTATTAGAAAAGTTCTTTAAGAAAATAGAAAAATTATTCCAAATGAAGCCTAAATTTAGATTTAGGCTTTGTTTGGGTAACATTCTTGTTGCTTTTTAAAGTATAAAAATTGTTTGTTCAAGAATTTTTTATATTAAAAAGTTATTTTAAAAAAAATAAGAAAGCTGTCTCAAACGAAACTTTCATTTGAAACAATTTTCTTATTACTTCTTAAAATAATTTTTTAATATAAAAATGTTTAGTTCAAAAAAATTTATATTAAAAAGCAGCTTTAAAAAAATAATAAAAATTTTGTCTCAAACGAAGCCTTCATTTGGAACAGCTTTCTTACTGCTTCTTAAAGAAGATTTCTGTTATAAAAAATTCAGCTCAAAAAAATTTTGTATTAAAAAATTGTTCTAAAACATAGTAAGAAAACCATCTCAAATGAAGCTTTAATAAGATTTTCATTTTTTTTTTAAAAATTACAATAACTTTTAAATTTTATACTATTTTAACTATTTAACACTTTTTTTCAATCTTACTAGGTGTTCTTCAAGAATGCTTAAAATTATAATACACCCCAGCAAGGATTAAAACTATTATAAACTCTGATAAAGCTTACAAATATTATCCCAATAAGGTATAAAACTGCTTATGCGGAGTCTTAAAACTACTATACACCCCACATGACTTAAAATGACAAAGTCCCACATAACCTTAACATCCAACTATAATCTAACTAAGATCCTCGAAACTTCATTACTCTGCTTCTTAAAGCAGCTTTTTAGTAGAAAATAATTAATTTTTGTACTAAAAAGCCGCTTTAAAAAGCAGTAAGATAGCCGTCCCAAACGAAGCCTAAGTTTACTTTACCTTAAATATAAACTAAAACACTTTATAATACATTATTTTTACTTTATTTTTCTTCCAACGAAACACTAATATTTAAAAAAACTCGTGTAAGTAGTTTATTTTACACCAACTTTACTTCAAATGGTGTCATTCACCCCA